AAACATGCCTTGTGGGCTTCGGCCTGGCACCTGGATAACTAGGGATGAGGCAGATGGCAGGAGGAGGAATGGGCTTCATGAGGGGCAGATGCGCCATTGGGCCTCCAAAGGGAGAGTCTGGTGGAGGGTTTTGAACTGTGACTGTGATAGAGTCCAGAGCAAAGATTTGGGGCAGGGGTCCCAGGATCACGGGGCAGGGGGTGCTGATCTAGCCTGGAGGATTAAAGGAGGCCTCCCTGAGGGTGACAACTGAGCTGGGATCTTCTAGAAGGCAGGTGAAGGGTGAAGGCAAAAAATGCCCCGGCTGAGGGAACTGTGTGCAAAGACCCGGAGGTTTGTGGGAGAGGGTACGGCTGCAGTGAGCTCAAACACACCCCACTCCTGAGACCTCACCCCCAGAGACCCAGACCTGTTCTGGGGTCCCTACCCTGCCCCTCAGGAAGACCCTGATGAGTGGGGCACCTCTCTCAGGGGCTGCAGGTGAGGGAGGGTCTGAACTTTGACAGACAGGAAAGGCCACATTCCTAAAGAGGAGGAATGTCTTTGATCCCAAGTTCTAGCCCAGGGCCCCAAGTCCCCTCTCCCAGCATCCTTGAGGGAGGCTGACAGTTGGAGGGCGAGGCCTCTGAGCAGGGGCAGCTCTGTCCTCTTGCTCTGACCATAGGCAAGTACATGTTATGCTCTGAGCCTTGTAAGTCAGAGGGTTTTGTGTCTGTCCACAGCTCTGTCATCAACCCCCAAGGGCAGCCCTGCTGAAATCCATTTTATACATTGTGTCTAGCTGTTCAGGACTGGAGGCAGGGCTTCCATTCAGGAACCATGGCTTTGGGCCTCTCCTCCAGCCAGGGTGTTGGGGGCCCAGGACCCTGCCAGCATCTCACAGGGCCAGGATAATTCTCTTTCACCCTTTGTTTCCACTGTCACCCCCTCCCCAGATGCTCTCCCTTCTGTACTCAGCCAAAGCCTGCTTCTTCTTACATCCCTGCTGGTGGGTGCCCCCCACCCCCTGGCGAGTTTTTCCAATTCCACACATTCTCATAGGTCTCTCCTCCAGACTGTATGTCTCCCTAGAGGAGTCCAGAGGGGGAGAGACCCAAGGGAGCCATCACCAGCTAATGTGAGGGGTGGTGGGCCTCCTACCCTCTTCCAGGGAGGTGCTTCGTCACACACAGAGGACCAGGCTGTGGGGACACAGTGGAGGTTCCTATCCCAGTTGTGCCCCTACTAGTGAGAGGCACAGTCTTAGCTCCAACAGCCCCTAACGAGCCCATGGAGGAATGAGTCACTGGTCAGCAGGGGTGGGTGTGTGGAGGGGAAGGTGGTTAGCGGGACTGCTTCAGGGCCGCCCCTCTTCGTGCCTTCAGGTCAACAGAAAACTCAGATCCTGCAGGTTCCAGAAGCCCTCCCTTCGGCAAATCTCAAGCACCACCTCCCCTCACCTCTGACCCTGACTCCCTCCAGCTGGGTGTAGAGGCTGCGTGGCTGTGAGTCGACCAGCCTCGGGCAGAGTGGGAGGGGTAAACCCCAAAGAGGTGGGGGCACTCTGCTCGTCAAGGAAAGGACCAGAGAAACCGCAGGGCTCCGCTGCGAGCTCCCTCCCAGGGCAGACAGCCCTGGTTCTGTAGGGAAAGCGCGGCATGCCCTGCGCGCGCGCGCGCGCGCCGCTCGAGTGGGGCCGCTTTGTTCTAGCGCTACCTGCGGATCCTTTCACCTCCTCCGCCCAGCCAGCCAGCGAGCCGATGCACGGCGCTCGCTGAGACCCCGCCCATTTCCCGCGCTGGGTGGGATTTTCGACCGGCCCCGCCTCCCTCTCCCCCGCAGTGTCTCCTTGGGCTGCGATTGGCCATCTGCGTGGCGCACGCCCACCTACCACAAAAGTTGATTGGTGCGTTGGGAGGAGGTAGGCGGAGGGCAGTCGATTATAAAGGAGCACTCTCCCACCCGCTCCTCTGTAGAAGTCACGTGGCGCTTCAGTAAGCTCCCCCCGTCACCACCCTGCTTGGAAAGCTTTCTTAAAGTGACCGTTCTCTTTTCCCTGGGCTGGTCCTTTCCAGGATTTCTCCACCCCTGCCCTCGGAGGGTGGCAAGGCCCTAAGCCGTCCTACTCCGCAGTCCTCTAGGTGATGATTCCCCCTCAGGCCTGCTGAGGTGAGACTACCTTCAGGTTCCCGAGCCTGTGGTCCTCAGTGGGACTGCGCAATCGCCTAAAACAGTGACCGCATAAGCACAGGGCCTGGCACATAGTAGGCGTTCGATTTCCATTTGTTGAATGAACTCGCTGAAAGAATGAATGAATGCGGTTGACAGAAGGAGGAGACATTGGGTCAGCTTGATCGCCCTCTCCCTCCGCCACATCCCCGGGGAAACTCTGCTTCAGGGAATGTGGGAAGGGGGTGCCAGGTGCCGGACGCCCCCAGGGCAGCCCTTCAAGGTAGGCACAGAGGAGCTGGGAGCGCTGACATAGGGGACCTGGGCATAGGCGTCTTGGCCAGGCCCCCTAGACGAGTCATAACCTGTTCTGGGCAAGGTGAGAGGACGGCAGCGCTGGGGCCGGAAGAAGGCCCGGACGCCAGTCTCCGGACGCAGGTGTGTGGGCGCACGGGACCGCTCGCGCGCCCGCGTACTCGGTGGGGAGGGGT